ACAGGAGGGGGGTGGGGGCTGTCCCTCAGCCCGGCCTGCACCCTTTCCAATCTGGGACCCCTTGAGGGATGTCCGACTGTTGGGGGCGATTGGGCCAGCAGGGGAGGGCAGTTGGGTGTGACCAGGCCTATTTTATTTGGGGGTATTGTTTGGCTATAATTTGTTTTCATTTTTATCCTTTGCTATAACAAAATTTGGTGCTATTGAAAAACATTCATAGAATAGTTGTTTTAAGAGGAACAGTTAAAAAAATCTTTATTGTTGAAAGTACTACATTTTTTCCCTTTTTAACTTATTTTTTTTGAAAATTATTTATATGATACTTACTCGTGGCCCCAGTTCTCCAACGGGTCCCATTGGTCCTTCTTCTCCCTTAAAAAATCCAAACATATCATGGCCTAAAATAAGTATTAAAAATATAAATCCTATTCTCTCTATTTATTTTGAAATCTGAAGCTCATTCTTAGACATGATGAAAATAATTCTGTGATTTTTTTTGTATTTTAATTTTTTCTTTGACAACCCCACATCTACTCTAAAAGAGACATGTACTGTTGGATTATTTTTAAATTAGTGGATGATATAAGTTATATATAGAAAAATGAGAGTGAATAACAGTGAAAATGATTAGAGTATCATAAAATTAGGATTTAAATTAAGACCATGAATTAAGGATTACCTTCTTGGACTCAATATCTCTCTGATACAGAGAGGAACTCAATCAAGTTTTTAATAGATAGAATCAATATGCATTTGTATATTAAAAATTATTGGTACAGAATATATTTGCACTTGGCAGTTCATTCATTCAACAAATATCTTTTTGAGTCTTAGTTCTGTCTTAAGCCACAGAGATACAAAGATATATAGAATCATACCCAAATGGGGTTAATGTCCAGAGTTTCTTCTTGAATAATTTACAGGTCCAATATTCTTGGGGTCAAATTAGTTATAATTTCATAAAATATAAAATCTGTGCATACAAAAACTGTATAGGTGAATAGAGAATAAAGGAGCATAGAAAAATAATTTTCTTTAATCCTCACACAAGGATATGTTTTTATTGATGTTAGAGAGAGAGGAAGAGAGAGCAAGAGAAACATCGATGTGAGAGACCAACATTCAGATAGCTCCCATATGCACTCCGACCAGGTATTAAACCCACAACCTGGGTATGTAACCTGACCAAGAATCGAACCTGAGACCTTCCATTGCATAGAATGATGTGCCAACCGACTGAGCCACACTAGCCAGGTCAAGAAATTCCTAAAGCTAAATTTTTATACATTATTCTTTAAGAAAATAAAAAAGTAATAACAGTTTTTATTCCATTTATTGACATGTTTTCTAAATATTAGTATACTGATTTTTTACCTTCAAATAAAAGTTTATGTTACCACATCTGAAGAATATATACAGACCTTTCTAGAATTATATATTCTTATTTAGTTAAAAAACATTTTGCTCGATTCACAATTCAATAAAAACATAATTTATTGGGTCACAAATATAAAATGGACAAAAATAGTAAATATAAATTCTACTACATATAAGTGAGATTCTAGGCTCAGATTCTTCAGATGTTCCATGGAGTCCACTGACATAAATCATTTAATGAATTCAGAACACTGCAGAATGACTCCAAATCCCATCGCACAACTGCTAGTATAAAATGGTAACTTGAAATCCTCTAAGGCAAAAATTGACAGAAAAGCAATGTTTTCTTTAAGCAAAAACTAATTTACCACAAAAATTAAAAGGGGAAAGACTAAACAAAAAATTGCTGATTGGATATTTATTTCCTCCATACCTGAGTTCCTTTGAGACCAGGAGGTCCAGGAGGCCCTCTATTTCCAAGGACTCCCTATAAAAAACAACATAAGCACACATAATGAGAACTTTAGCTCAATTAATATTTTTTCAATCAGCATTAATCTGGAGATTGGCAATACTATTTAGTACCATTCATTTCCCATTAGGAGGTTATCAAAATGGGGTGAGTGGGTAGATGAGCAGAAAACTACAGAGCATACAAAAAGTTGTGAAACATAGGATAAACTTATTTTAAACAGTATGTTAGTGTTCAAATAATCTGCCCAGTGTACTACTCTTCAATGAGACACCTTTTTCAGAAAAAGTATTTCTAAATTTAAAGCAATATGTCTCGTTGTTAATAAGATAATAGTACAATAAATACATAATAGAGGATTTACAAAGTCTGAAAATAGATAGAGGGGTTATGTAATGTTTTAATTTGTTAAGAGACCAACAGAGTCTGGAATAAATCATTCATATACTAAATGCTCTTCAAATAATCTCCCTTCATGATACAAGCTGGTAAAAGGCAAATAATAAAATAAACTAACAATCTGAACATGATTAGGAATTTCAAAATTAAAAGAAAATCTTTTGAGAATCAAAATGCATGCTGTTAAAAATCAAATACTCACTGAATAAAAATTGATTGAAATAACTTAAAAATATATTCCTATTTCAGAAAATACCCTATACATCTTTCTCAACATGGTAACATTTTTCTTATTCAGAGGGGACAATAGAACTAATGGCACAGAAATAAAAAGAATCATAAGAGACTAATATGAACAATTACATAACAACAAATGGGATTACCTAGAAGGAATAAATAAAATTCCTAGAAACATACAACCTACCAAAACTGAATCATAGAGAAATACAAAATCTGAACAGATCTATAACTATTGAGGATATTAAATTAGTAATCAATTCCCCACATTCACCCCTAAAATAAGCCTGGGACCAGATGACTTCACTGGAGAATTCTACACAACATTTAAAGAATAATTCATGTAAATACTTTTCAAACTCTTACAGACAACTTATTCTATGGGGCCAGCCTGATACCAAAGCCAGACAAAGACACTGCAAGGAAAAAAATTACAGACCAATGGCTCTGATGAGTATAGAAGCAAAAATCCTAAAAAAAATACTAGCAAAACTAATTCAATAACACATTAAAGGATCATACATCATAATTAAATGGGATTTATAGCTGAGGTGTGAGGATTTTTTAACATATTAAAATAAATGTGATACACCACATTAACAGAATAAAGAACAAAAATAACATGCAGAAAAGCATTTGATAAAATGTAATAACCTTTCATGATAAAAACCTCAACAAACTAAAAATAGAAGGAAATTATCTCAACATAATAAAGGACAAATATGAAAAATCCACAGTTTATATCATACTCAACAGTGAAAAACTGCAAGCTTTCTTGAAAAGTCAGGAACAAAGCAAGGATGCTCACTCTAACCACTTTTATTCAACAACAGAGGCCCACTGCACGAATTCGTGCATCAGTGGGGTCCCTCAGCTTGGCCCGTGGGATCGGGCCAAAACTGGCTCTCCGACATCCCCCGAGGGGTCCTGGATTTCGAGAGGGCTCAGGCTTGGCCAAGGGACCCCACTGGCGCATGATCAGGGCTGGGGAGGGATGCGGGAGGTTAGCAGCAGGGGAGGGACCGTGGGAGGGCGAGTCCAGCCCATCTTGCTCAGTCCTGATTGGCCGGCCCAGTAGCAAACTAACCTACCGGTCGGAGCATCTGCACCCTGGTGGTCAGTGAACGTTATAGTGAGCAGGTGAGCAGCCTTAGCATATCATTAACATACTACGCTTTGATTGGTTGAACGGCTGACCAGACAACCGGACACTTAGCGTATTAGGTTTTTATTATATAGGATAGTACTAGAAGTCCTACCTAGACCAATTTGTCAAGAAAACGAAAATAAGGCAACCAAATAGGAAAAGAAAAAGTAAAATTTTTGTTTGCAGATGACAGAATCTTATATGTAGAACTCCTAAAGATTCTACAAAAAATTTTTTAGAATAAACCAATTTATCAAAGTTGCAAAATACATAGCATACAAAAAGTAGCTGTGTTTCTATACACTAACAACAAATAATTAAAAAGGGAAATAAAGAAAACAATCTAATTTACAATAACATAAAAAAAGAATAAAATATTTAGGAATGAACTTAACCAAGGGGTGAAAGACTTATACAATAAAAAACTACAAAACATTGCTGAGAGAAATTAAAGAGGACTCAATGGTATTAGGTTTTTATTATATAGGATAGTACTAGAAGTCCTACCTAGACCAATTTGTCAAGAAAACGAAAATAAGGCAACCAAATAGGAAAAGAAAAAGTAAAATTTTTGTTTGCAGATGACAGGATCTTATATATAGAAACTCCTAAAGATTCTACAAAATTTTTTTTAGAATAAACCAATTTAGCAAAGTTGCAAAATACATAGCATAAAAAAGTAGTTGTGTTTCTATACACTAACAACAAATAATTAAAAAAGGAAATAAAGAAAACAATCTAATTTACCATAACATAAAAAAAGAATAAAATATTTAGGAATGAACTTAAGGGGTGAAAGACTTATACAATAAAAAACGACAAAACATTGCTGAGAGAAATTAAAGAGGACTCAATGGAAAGACATCCCATGTTCATGAACTGAAACACTTAACATTGCTAAAATGTCCATACTACCCAAAGTTATCTATAGATTCAATGCAATCCATATACAAATCCCAAAAGGCATTCTTTGCAGACAGAAAAAAAACAAAAAACAAACAAAAAAAAAACTACCTTAAAATTCATACAGAATATCAAGGGTTCCTGAATAGCCAAAAGAATGTTGAAGAGAAGAACAAAGTTGGAGGCCTCATACTTCCTGATTTCAAAACATATTCTAAAACAACAGTAATCAAGACAGTGTGGTTTTGACATAAAGGTAGATATATCAGCCAGTAGAACAGCATAGAGAGCCCAGAAAATAACCCTGGCATGTATGGACAAATGATCTGTGACAAGACTACACTGTGATGAAAGCACAGTTTCATCAATAACATTGGGAAAACTGGATAAAAATGAAATTGGACTCTTACTTTATACCTTACAGAAATGAACTCAAAATGAGTTAAAGACTTAAATGGAAGACTAAAACTATAAAACTCCTAGAAGCAAACACAGGGGAAAGGTTGAGGACATTGGATTTGGCAATGATTTCTTGTATATGACACTAAATGCACAGGCAATAAAGGCAAAAGTAGACAGATGGTACTATATCAAATTAATACACATTTTAAACTAACAAAAGTACAGTGTCATGAAAATTATAGTATGAAATCTCATTGTATGTCGAATCACCACAGTAGGAGTTGCTCTAAATTATATAGAGGCCTATGGACAAGGCATGGGGGGAAATGTTTGTATTCGCTAAGTGAAGGTAGAGGGGATGAACATAGCTTGAACCCATATGTGATATTTAGAGACCCAAGACCACATGATCCAAGTGAGGAGGTTTAAGTAATGTAGTTTGGCTGGAACACAGCAAGTACGTAAGTAAGAGAGACTGTAAGTTGCCCTATTTTTAAGTGGACACAATTTATCACAGTCCAAAGTAAGTACCATTATTTTTGCTTGATTACTCTTTATCTTTATTTATGACAGATAATATAAAATTTTTATTCATTCCAACATTTCTTGAGTACTTGTTATATAGAAGGAGAGGGCTAAAGCTACACAAAAGTATAAATCTTATAAAATCCATGTTCCCTATTATCTATATTTTATTAAATAAAAACCTCTTCATGTTGTTAAATCTAGTTCATTCAACAACAATTTATTGAGTTTCTGCTATCTCTGAGGCACCATGGAACCTGATAATGGTTTAATTTATAAAAATATAAGAAACTCCTATAACCCAATAGTAAAAACTAAATAATCCAATTAAAATAATAGGTAAAGAACTTTGAATAGACATTTTTCCAAATAAAACATACAAATGACCAACAGGTATATGTAAAAATACTCAACATTAATAATGAACAGGGAAATGCAAATCAAAGCCACAATGAAAAACCTACCACCGCACACCTGTTAGAATGGATACTATCTACACTAATAAAAGAGAAACATGGTAATTGGCGTACGACCGCTACCCTTCCCATTGGCTAATCAGGGAGATATGTAAGGCTGTCCGCAGTCCCAGGACCCAGATCTGTGACCCTGCCAGATGGGGGGCAGCAGTGCTTGAGGCTGTCTGTTGTCTGAGACCTGGATCCATGTCCTCGCGAGTGGGGTGGCAGTGCTTGAGGCTGTTCGCAGTCCCAGGACCTGGATTAGTGACCCTGCCGGGCCGGGGGCACCATGGGAGGCTGTCCGCAGTCCGGGACCTGGATCTGTGACCCCTGACCACCAGGGGGTGGTGCAGAACATGGCTGGTGAACAGTGGCAGCAGTGGGGCACTGAGAGAGCGAGGGAAGTAGGAGGCAGGAGGCAGGGAGGCGGGGAACCTGATTGGCCCTGATTGCTGGCCAGGCCTAGGGACCTTATCTGTGCATGAATTTCATGCACTGGGCCTCTAGTCCCAATACTGGCTAGGATGTAGAAAAATTGGAATGCTGTGCACTATTGGTGAGAATGTAAAATGGTGCAGCCACTAGGAAAAACGGTATGGGGTTACTCCAAAAATTAGAAATAGAACTACTATGTGATCCAGTCATCCCACCTCTGGTTATTTATAAAAAAAAAAAAAATTAAAAACGGGATTTTGAAGTGCTATCTATATACACTCCCATGCTCATTTCAGCATGATTTACAATATCTTATAGGTGGAAACAATAAAAATGTCCATTGATGGATAGATGAAAGAGTAAAGAAAATGTTTATTTTGGTACTACTAGAAAATGATTTGTTATTCAATCTTTAAAAAAAGAAGGAAATTTTGACATATGCTATTACATAGGTGAACCTTGAAGACCTTATGCTAAGTGAAATAAGCCAGTCACAGAACTTTTTTATT